GAACAGAACCTTAAATAGTATCATAGGTAACAACTGTGTTTACTTGACTATTTAACACCAAAATGGCTCCTGTGAAAAAGGTCTATTTGTTGTCTCAGAAGTCCTGTCTGTTGCTTGTTTTTTCTTTGTGTATTATGGATCTGTTAAGAAAGCAGTGATGGAACTGCCCTTATCGTTGCAAATATCAAACAGCTTTAAAATGACACAGACAGCACCAAAGTATCTGCAATCAGGAAAGGAAGCTTTAAGCTTCCATTTAACTTCACCTTTTCTTCCTCAACATTAATCAAGGTTACCATTACAGAATGCCATACACATATAAAGTTGTAAAACGCATTGTGATAAATTCCTTTTTTTTTTTAGCTAGATGCAAGATGGATACCATTCTCATATCTATATGCTAAACATGAAGCTACCAACAGGAGCTAGTTAGCTTAGCATTAGCACTGGAAACAGCGAGACATAAATAAATACCAGCACTGCCAAAGCTAGCTCTCGTATTAACATTCTGTATCTTGTTTATTCAATCCAAACATAAGACTAAAACTAAAAACAACACACTGTGATTTTACGTGTTGTTATGTGCTGGACTATTTCTAGTCCGGGCCCTGTAACTTGCTGGAGTCTGACACATAACCCCCATAAACAGATAGATAGATTAGATAGATTTAGTTCACTTTGGACGATGCCAGACCAGCTGTTTGTCCCCGTTTCCAGTCTCAATGCTAAGCTAAGCAAACTAGCTGCTGGTGGTAGCTTTATATTTACCGTACAAATATGAGGGTGGTACTGATCTTCTCATCTTACTCAGCAAGAACACAAATAAGTGTATAATGTAATCTAAATATAAGATTACATTATCTTATTGCCTCATTTTCTTCATTTTGTATCAAATCTCCTGTTTTGCTCCAAATACTACAATGTTCTTGGAATTCTATAACCAGTAGGATCCCTGTAAGAAAGTAAAACAACATTAATTTAATTTAGCCATAAATTCTAGTGCTAAAACTCTAACCTGTATGTGTCTTCACATGGCAGTCCAGGGTAGATTTCACCGTAAAGCTCTTCCCACATTCATCACACTTGTAAGGTCTCTCCCCTGTATGGATCCGAATGTGCCTACACATTGAAGCAGATGGACATAGGCAAAATTAAAAGAAAGTTAAGCCAGACGAGAGACTTGCAGTAGGGAAAAGAAAGTGAGTGAAAAGTTTGTAAGTGTTCAATAAGGCAATCAGCACGACCTACAACCATAGCACAGTTAATCGCTTATTACCCACAAGCAGTCATCAGTTTAATGCCTTCAGTTCCTAATAACGTTGTTACATGAACTTCCAAGAAATTGCACTCTGACTCCGAATATGAAAACTTAAATAATAAATGCGGCTCAGTAGTTAGAAGTGGTTGGAAGAGGTTAAATGACATGAACCAGCATCTAGAGAGATTTAAATTATATATTTATTTCTACAACTGAAAGAATTCTTCTATAAAACACTATTTTCACACTCTTTCAAAGCTGTTCTCTTAAGGTTACAGATAATCAGGAAATGTGTCCATGTGAGTCTTCAACTGACTTTTATTTTCGCATCTTTAATTCTTTAATTAAGAGGTCTGACACATAATGGCCTATGTAAATTGCATAGGGACATTGGACAACCTACTAACCTTTGATGTGTGGGTTCTATTTATATGGATATGGTATTAAAATAAAATGTACCATGGACACCTCCTCAAAACCAAGAAATCGAATCAATTCTTATTATAGTGAGCATTAGCAGAGATAGAAAAGATTACAGTGACTGCAATTAATAGAGATTGTAGAGTTTTGTTGCGTCAGTTGGTGTTCTCAATTCATACGGCAGCAAAAGATGGTTACATCTCCACTTCCACAAGTCCACTTCTGATATATAGTAATAAATATAAGTGCAGGAAAATTCCAGTATTTTTCTGTTCTTTTTCTCGTAATTAGTCAATCAGAATCAGAATCAGAATCTTTAATAATCCCAGGGGGAAATTACTTACCTAAAGCTTTACAAATAAATAATTATAATAATTTTTATAATATACTATATTATACTATAACATCTTACATGTAATTTTAAAAAAAAAGTAAACAAAGTAGCCCTGGAATGCATCAGGATCTACTTATTAACCTTCTGTTGTTGTCTACTACTTCTTCAGCAAGCACACATGCTAAACTGCATAGAAACCAGTGGGCCGCTAGTTTGCTTGCCCATAAGTAGGTCCCTATGGACCTTCCAGCAAGAAGCAAGTGCTACGACTGCTATACTTCTTGTCTACACCAGAAGTGGGAATGTGTCACGTTGTGTAGACTGACTACTGCTGCTTGTGATCTTGTTTACCTGAATTTAATCAAATATGGGAGCAGTTTTACCAAATTCTGTACAGTGTGAAGGATTGCTAGAGCAGGAAGACAGTGAGAGACTTACTTCTATAACAGTCGGAAAAACACTGACAGTTATTTTCAAAGATTAGCTCTTCCACACAGTGCTGGTATCAGCTGGTTATGGCAGTCCATCGCAAGCTCACGTTTCTCCTAAAGCGTATGAAACATGCGTGATATTTACCTGACCAGGTCACTGGGCTTCTTGAAGCTCTTGGGGCAGAAGCCGCAGCAGTTGGCAAACTTGGGTTCCGTCTCCAGCTCCACGGCCTTGTCTTTGATCTCGCTGATCCGATCCCTCTCAGCTGCTGACTGGGCGAGGATCCTCTCCGACACCGAGGCCTCCTCACCGGGATCTTTGGCCAGCTCGGCCGCCTGCTCCTCGGTGAATGTGATGATTTCCAAGCCCCTCCTCTTCAATGTCTTCTGGTCCCCTTCCTCGTCTTCTTCCTCCTCCTCCTCCTCTTCCTCGACGTCTTGACTATCCAGGCCTAGAACTGTGAGAATCACAGAATTATCACTGTGTGCCTTTCGGTTACACTTCATGCTAGTATGAATCATTTTCAACTTGAGTGAAAATATACACTTATCCCAACAGCAGGAAATTTACTTGAAAATTACGCGAAGCCCCAGACCTTCTAAACAGTAGAGTAAAAACAACATTCTGTTTATTATTTCAAAAAAGAGAAAAATCAATTGGTTGCATGCTGATGCAGTGTATATTAGCATTTTCCTTTCCCCTTGCATTTTAAATCAATTTCATATTTTTATATAGATATAATGAACTATCTGAATGTTATCTAGGCGTCCTTACTTTGATCCTCCACAGCATGCTCCTTCTTCATATGCTTTTTACACAGCAGGCTGGTCCTGAAGCTCTCATCACACATGGAGCATTTGAAAGACTTTATGTGGATAATCATGTGGCGGTTCAGGCTGCCATTGGTAGTAAATGAGGCGTCGCAGACATTACACTTGAAGGGCTTCACTCCTGTCAGCAAGAGAAGAGAGGCAGGATTTCCCATTATAAGTTACTTTTTAAAACTTTCGAGGAGGTTTTACTGAAGAAAGTTCATTTTAAAACAACATAAAAAACATTATACAACAGATTTTTTAATTTACCTCATGTCCTAAAAAAGAAACTTTCATATTAATGAAGCATTATCTTTATCCATTTAAAAAAAAAGACTTATTTAAATTACATTTTGTTCCAATCCTGTACTTATTTAATCTAAAACAAAAAACCCAACAACTTCTAATAGCTAGTTTTTAAGACATTTAGATACTTTGTAAAACCTACATTTTTATCATTGTTTTAATTTAATTTTTTTCCAACTTTTTCGTCAAGTATCATTTAAAACTTTTTCATTTGTAATTGTGGTTTGAATGAAATGCACGGCCAGGCATCAGGAGATAAGGTAATACAATTTCTAGTAATTTAATTCTTTAAATATAAAAATGTCAATACAATAGAATGTGATATATTTAATAGTGTTAATGAACTTTGAAGGCATTGAGTCTGCCAAATCTAATTAATTTAGGAAGACATTTGGAGATTTTCAGCACCCTGGTATAAAGGGAGCTCACCTGTGTGTGTATTGAGGTGGGACTTCAGCACCCCGCCTGATACAAAGGCTCGTTCACAGATGTGACATCTGAATGGTTTCTCCCCAGTGTGGGAGCGCACATGCTGCTTCAGATGGCTTGACTTTTTGAAGCCCTTATTACACCAACTGCACCTGAAAAGGGGAAAAACAGTCCTCAGAATTATTGTTTACAGTACCGCTCAGAACAGAAGAAAGATAAACTGACAGACTTGAACAGGTAACTAGCTTGTTCAGTAACACATTTGGGAGATGTTAGGAGGTTTATTTTTTTTTTTTATTAAATACATTAATACAGGATAGTCAGGGGATGACATGCAGCAAATAGCCTCAGGCCGGACTCGAACCTGGGCCGCTGCAGTAAGGACTCAGCTTTGACATGTGGTACGCGCTCTACCCGTTGAGTTACTGGGGTGCCCAGCATAATTTGTTTTAATGAAAAAGAGAATAGCAAATGCTGGAAGTTGTGGCTATGTTCTGTGCACACTATCTACCTTATTTGTCGTTCATCATCATTCAAGCTTTTCGACAGAGGCTAAACTAACACAGCATGTGTGCATTTATCAAATGTATGTGTTACAGAACCTGACCGATGTGGGATGTTTGAAACCGATACCGATTTTAGTGGGGAAAACCAAACTGATTACCGATATGGCGGCAGTGAATTGTTGAGCTGGAATGAATATAGACCTGTTCTATGTGGTTTGTGCACTGATTTTTCATCAATACGACTATGCAAAGGTACTCGGAAGGCTTTTTTTGAACAATTAACTTAAAGACTATTTCATTATATATTCTTTAACGTGGTAAATAATTACATGAATACTGTCAACCAATTCTAGTTGAGATCGCCTAGAAGCGCTTCTTCTGCTTCCCACAGTATTGTAAATTTTTGATGGCATATATGCCAATATGATACAATACCTTTAATGTCTGCCAATATCAGTCGATAATATTGTCAGCGCTACATTGTGTTTCTTTCATAATATTCAAACAAGACTGAAGAATTCATCATAAACACCACTGAAACCCAAGTGATGTGACTTGATGTGACTTCAGCAAAAATGATGAGCCTTTCGCTGACAGCAACTTGTCCAACGTCCCTAAAGCAGCTAGCAGGTGAAATAAAAGCTGTTGTTTATTTGCTGCATGGACAGGTAAGAGCAACTGTTAATTATGCCATGTGATGTTCTGAAACATTGAATACACCTTGAGTTATATATGTGTCAAAGGAAGTTGGATATGGTATGGATGCAACTTTTCTACAAAATAATTAATGACATCTATAATTTGGGTCTAAAAGTAAATGCCTTTATTATCTATTTTTGGCTAAAGCTTTGGTTTAAGTGTATAATTCAGGACTGTCTCATTTCATCTGATGACCATATTAGACTCATTAGTTTATTATTATTATTATTTATTTAGTTCTAGTCAAATCCCCTAAATGAATGAAAATAAATTAATAACTAGAATTACCACCTTTGCCAACCACTGAAGTTCCTGTTGACATCCATGTCTAGGGCTGCGGATATAGATTAAAGCGTGGATGCTCCACACATATCTTCAATCTGGTTGCAGAGAAGATCTATACAATCTCCACAGTTTCAAGATGGGCACTCAAGATTAGTGTCACCAATTGTGTGTCTGACTAAATGTGAAATATGGTCACAATGTCTGTGTCTGTGTTTTTGCAGAACATTATGATGTCACAGTGAAGTTGAGCTTTGGGATATAAAATATCATCACTTCATTATTTTACCTTATTAGACATTAGTGTGAAATTTTGTGATAATTATTGTATGAATTCTTGAGTTATGGCCACAGTGACCTTGACCATTGACCACCAAATTCTAATCAGTTCATCCTTGAGTACAAGTGGACTTTTATGCCAAATTTGAAGAAACTCCCTCAAAGCATTCCTGAGATATCGCGTTCATGAGAAAGGGATTGACGGACGACCCAAAAACATAATGCGTCTGAACACGACTATCTCGGAGTCATACAGACATGGATCTCTTTGTCCATCGTGTCTCTACCTTTCACAAAAGTGTGCAAATTGTTTTGTAAAAAAGTTTTGTATATAGATGGAGAAGTGATTAAAACACATTGAGGAGATGCCTCAGGTACGTGGGCAAACATGAATGTATCTCTGGGGCATGTCTTTAAATGGTATTGCTTTATCTGAGGAAAAGTTTGGAATAAAAGATGCTGATAACAAAGGCAGGTAAAGTTATTTAAGGCAGTCATAGTCAATGCCGTAAACAATGCCTTCTATTTCCCCTGGCTCAGTGTTTATGGTGGTGCCTATCATTAATCTGCTTTGAGGCTTGAAAAAGATTTGTTTGGATATTATAGAGCACAAAAACACAATGCACTGCAATGAGGGAAAACTAAAAGCCAGCAAACAGACAAACAAAAGAAGAAAATGACTCAGTCCCGTGGTGCATCTCAGAACAGAGTTATAAGGGTAAACCTACTGTGACACTCCAGTTCATCTTGATCAATGCTCACTATCACTAAGTAACTCACACTGGTCTTTGGGATAGAATTTGACCAGAAAAGACCATGAGAAACGACAAAGAGGAGCCTGGCAAAAGTTAATTTCCAGAGATGGAGAACCTGTTGGACAGAAAACGATCGCTGCAGCACCACGGCTCATCGGGCCTGGGTGCTGCAGTGCAATCAGGCCTAAATGGTGAAATGAATACACAGAAGCTCCTCTTGAGTCACCTGGAGTCTGCCAAACTGCTCTCAAAGTACTCTGAGAGCACACTGAAAAAGATTTTCTGGTTGGATGAGAAACAAAATTATGAACTCTTTGGGCAAGGTACTTTTCATCACGTGTATACCCTCCCTGCTGTGAAATGTGGCTACGGCAGCGTGATGGAGAGGATTGAGGGGACAATGAACAGAGCAGAAACAACATCAGAATTGGCAAAGAGTCACTTTTCAGCACAACTCCAATCACTCAACCAAGACAGTACGAGCAGTTATGGGAATGTCACTTAGAGAAATGCAGGTGTGCAAAGACAGCAGGAGACGACCCAGAACCCTTGTCACTGCAATTATCTCTACTGGAAAGGGGTTGGAATTTAAATGGTGAGGTGGTGGGAACACTTTCTGAAGACACAGATACAGGCATTGACACACACACACACACA